ACCCACGAAAGCTTATGCTCCCAATACTTCTGTTAGTCTTAAAGGTGCCACAGGACCCTCTGTTGCTTTTTACAGATTCTGACTAACACGGCTACCCCTCTGATACTTGACACATGGGTGATAGTGCAAGCTTCCCTAGAAATACAGAACATACACAAGCTGCCAAAACTGATTAGACCCCCATTAGTGCAGTGTGTTCTAGCTTTTTTGACCCTCAACCCACAAAAGGGCCAAACATTTGTCTTGCAAACTACACTCCTTTGTGGGTGGCGTGTAGTAGTTAGCTTTCAAGTGGCTGTGCATTCCAAGGTGAAGAATGCCAAAGCGGTCATTCATCCTTGGATACAGTAGCTGTACAACTCTGCAGGATATAACCTTACCTCAGTTAATTAGGATATCTGGAGATACTGTATATATTTTATAACAGAATTATACCACTTGAACAGATTTATCAAATCTCGGACTTGATGAAGCTACACACTGGGTAAACTGAAAAGTTTAAGTTCATTCATGGACCAGATAATGGGATACAGAGCCCTTAATCCCCACATCACTCATCTGAATCTAGCTATGTAGTGAGTGACTATTTTCATCAAGTGGTTTATGGGCAGCAAATTTGGTCTCTTTCAAGTTTCCACTGGACTGATGTCCACACAAAGCCATAACACACGGATACTCCAGTTGGCAATCCCAGTCAAGGGCCTAAGTATAGAAGGGTCATGAAAGCAGAATTCCTGGCCTATTCTGGAGGCAGTCTCTCCAGGTCAAGAGTGGGCAGTGCATGGAATATCTCACATTACCATGTGCCCATGCTGTATCTGCACTGTTTATAAAGAGAGGATGTCCGTTTCCAGCCATGTCACAATCATGTCACTACACTTGAAATCAAAAGATTTAAGACACTATCTTCAAATTTTATTTTGCCACAAAAGTCAGGGTCATCAAGCGTTTCATGTGAATATATGACATTTCTTTACTTGAAATGATTTATATGGCACTATGTTCTTTCAGGAGTGACCACCACCAATGCTAGTTTTCATCAGTCACCATCAGGAATTTTAAAATTTGGCACACGGTGTGCGTGTGTGTGGGGGAAAATAGACTCCTGAGCCACTAATTAAAGCATTTAATTCTCCTAAAAAGTGCTTCATCTCCCCTCCTTCAGAAACTGCCCAGTTCCCCAAAATTAACGCTCCCTTAACATTCTTTCTCTGAGCAAAACTACAAAAGTATATAGAAAACCTTACTCTGTGGTATGGTCTGATCTGATTGAGATGTGGACCCACGGGATAATAACCCTCCACTTGCTGGTATCGGTCTCTGGATTCAGGTACGTAGGGAGGTGCAGCTCCATGTGGAATGTCAATGGGCACAGGGCTTCCTCGAACAATCTCTTCCCGCTGGTATGGTTGGGCAGAGGGGTACACACGCCGGCTCTCATAATGTTGGTACATAGGTTGTCCCATGGGAGGATACTGCTGTGGCTGTGTGCCGTACTGCGAATTCACCATACGATCCTGAAGGTAGGGTGGGTAATGGTCTAAGTAAGGACCACCAGGTTCAGGAGCAGATGGTGGAGGTCGGACAAAACGAGACATGCACTGTGAGGACTGAGGAGGATAGTACACACCTGAATTTATGTAACAAGGATACAAAAAGTCAGTACACGATTGGACATATCAGTTGTTCACCACAATTTATTCTTAGAAATTTCAGTCTACAACTGTCTTGAAAAGTGGCATCAGTAAGTCATTTCTTGACCACACACCTGTCATCTTAGTGCTATAAATAATAGATTTTCATATAGGAAAAAGTCATTATAAATCACCCACAAGACATTTGAGAATGCAAAGGTTGATCTAGAGCCCAGGGAGTGATGTTTAAATTAACCAAACCAGCCAGTATGGCTGGAGACAAGCCACAGCAGCTGGACATTGAGTCCAGCACAGGTGAGAAGGTGCAGCCTGCTCTCTTCAGCCTAGACCACAACTGGGCCCAAAGACTATAATTCCCACAACTTTGCAGAAGGAACTCATTAGGTGTCCCTCCAAGTTCACGTGAATGATCCTGCCAGTCAATGACAAGCACTCAACTGGGCACAAGTAGCCTGAGCAACATTTTTCAAGAAGCTTTGAAGGGAGGAGCTTAAAAAGGGGGAAATGCAGCACAGTTCGTGGCTGACCAGGGAGGAGAACAGACCTCCAATCCCCAGCCGCTGGAGAAAGGGTTGACTAAAGGCAGGAGCTCCTCAGATGGCTGCTGCTCAGTAGCCTCGCCCTGAAGGAAGGAAGGGCCCGAGGCAGACTGCCCTTTTGTGGGGATTATCCTGCTGTATGTGTCTTTGAACTCAGTTAAGGGTCCATAACTCGACAAGAGCACCCTAGCAGGAGAGAACCTTTCCACAATCATGGGGTAATTGTGTGTGTTAATTCTCCCTTTTTCTGTTAATTGACAATGCTGGAAGAGCTGGAATATCTGGGGCTAAAATGGAGGGTGGAGCCTTTTAGGACTGGAACTGGTATGAGGGGGAAAAAATCTGGACTTTACAGAACAGTGTCCCATATGTAAACAAAGGGGTCATTGTCAAATTTTGTGGATTACTCAGATTTCCCATTTGTACATGAAGTAAAATATTACACATTTTAATTTGTTGCTCTGGGTATACTGCTTTTATTCTTCCTTCTCTTTCCTTTCTAAAACCATATTGAACTCCTTCCATCTCTTTCCCCTCAACCTAATTTCTCCTTCCTTATTTCTATTTCTCCTCAGCCTGACTCATGTTCAATCATGAGAATCGTCTCTTCAAAGGAGTACTTCCTTCTCTTATCCTTACCATCCCCAGCATTCTCTTCCTCCTCCAGAACTGCCCTTTTGTTCTCTTTTCTAAACTACTCCTATGGCTTCCACTCCTTGTCCACATTCATCGTTTTCCGGTGCAAACATTTCTGCAGCAGCCATGAACCTTTCATCTGAGTACTTCAAAATATTTTAACATCAATGAAGTCTTATAAACATCCTGAATGGGAAGTTACTGTTCCCATTTTCCACGATACCTTGTGATCTTCACTTCATCTCATCCACTTTTTTAATGTGACAAAAGAGACTTATGATGCTGGATGAGTGCAAACTTAACAAAAACCAGAAGAGCGAGTTCTCATTTAATGGCACAAAATCCCCTCTGGATGTGACTGGCTGAATGCTATCGCAAAAGAAATTTATTATTTAGACTGAAAGAAAATTCTACCACTAAAATACCGTTTCTCCATGCTGGACTTCCATTTTACTATGCTGTTAGCACATTAAGCGTTTATCCTTCATGCTCCCACAGGAAAACCCAAATTTGAGGAGGTTAAATAAAATCACTAGTGAAAGGGGGAGCACAGGCACAGAACCAATGAGGGGTGGGGGAGAACTGACCCCAACACTCTTACCTTGTGGATAAGGTGACGGCTCAAATGGTGGGGCAGATCCTCTAGGATCCTGATAAAACACATCTCCCTGTTGAGCAGGATACAACTGTGACCCTCGTGGTACCATTTGGAGTTGCTTGGACATTGGAGACAGGTCTGTAGGTCCTCTCGGGGGCACAGGGTGGGGGTTCACTGGTAAGGCAGAAATAGAGCTCTTGGGGACAGACTCCAGCCTAAAGTAGAAGGAAGACATCAATAATGATTAGGTCACATCATACAGCTTGATGTGCTTTCAATACTGAACATGTCTAAACATTGTATGAGTTCAAAGCTCCATCTTTTGATGGCTCTCACCACTTTTCCTTATAAAAAGCAGGAAGTAAAGCATCTTTTTTTTTTCCTAGGCCATTTTTAATCACTAAAGGTGCAAGGCAGGAAAATTGTCGTTTCATTTCTAGAATGGATTTACTGTCCCTTATATTTCCTCCATCACACATTTACACAAACGACACTTCGAACAATAGTTAGGAAGATCCGTACAAGTCAGGAGGGGATCCAGGGGCACTGCTGCTAAGGTGGTCGATCTTCCCTGGCTTCAGAGCAGAATCATAGCCGGAGTCGGTCCCTCGGGAGATAAGCTGCGTCACTGTGCTGCCCGTAGACACAATCCCATTCGGCAAGGCAGAGGATTTTCTACTGGGCAAGTCCACTGCCCCTTCATCCGAGAGGATAGCTGCTGAAGGCAGGCCCACCTCATTTAGCTGGCCCAAGGAGGCACTCAGGGGTCTTCTGGGAACCAGGCGTTTGTTCATTTTACGAAATCTTCAGAAAAAGAAATCACACACCAAAAAATGAAACAAGAAACTAGAAGGAGTTGGGTTTCAAGATTTTTCACATAGGTGCTACAGAAAGAGCTTCAATTTTTAATTCAAGCTTCCTGAAGCTTTGCCAGAAATTTACTGCTAATATCTGGCGGACTGGAGTTTCTTGGTGCTATTTGAACAAAATGTTAGCAAAATGTTTTCTTTCAGAAGAATGAGTATGTATACTACATATTCAGCAAAGATTATGTGCCTATATTAAGATGCAAAATAAGCTGTAATGCAATATTAAGGATGGTGGGGTTTTTTTTGTTTTGTTTTTTAAATTACAGTGTTCCAGGGATTTCAGAGTTAAGATTTCCACAGTAAATCTAACTTGGTTCTCTCCTTGCATATATACATTACAAGAATAGGGTCTTCATTTACATGGGAACATACATACATTCAGGTGTTCAAAATACTACATCTGTGCAGTTATGGTTTTAGGAAAAGGGTCACAACAGACAGTATACAATCTAGTGTATTTACATAGCATTACTGAATGAAAAAATACAGGGGAAGAAAACACTCTTCTATCCTACTATTTGCTTAATAGGTCACTTCACTCAGTGTTGTGTGATCACATTTTATTTTAGGACATTTGCAATATATGCTGAGAGACCTAAGTGCATGCACAATATTCAACACATAATTTGCACTGAAAAATAAACTGAGTGTTTTCTTAAGATTCAAAGATAAAAATTCAAACCTCCCCATCCTCAAATAAATCTAACCCCACCTCCTCTGGCAAAAGCCTGAGCAAATATGAACTTTATAGCATGCCCTGAAAAAACAGCAGACGAGAGCTCTGTTGGACCAGGCCGGAGAGCGAATTCCAGGTGAATGCCCTCTACTAAAGATGTCCTGGCATCAGCTCAGTTATTAAAATCTGGAGGTGTGTTAGCTTAAACACAACTGGTCTCTACTATTGGGACTGAACAATAAGAATTTCCTACAAAGGCAGACTCCAAAACTTAGAAGGATTTTATAAATCAAAACCAGCACCTTAATTGCACCCAAAAGCAAAATCAGAAGCTAATGCAGACTCAACACTGCAGCCAAGATTGCAAGAAAGGCCACTAAAAAAAAGTGGACAGCTGCATTCTGCTGTAGTGAGTTTTCTGAGAGGTCTTCAGATGTAGGTGCAAGCACAGCACAACAGTAATCCAATCTAGAGGTGATAAAGGCACAGGTAGTGCTTGTGAAGTTTGCATTGAGAGGAACAGTTGTAGTTTTGCCATGCTTAGATTTAAAAAAAAAAAAAGACGCTGTTTGTTGTTACTACTAATCCATTCAAAAGCAGGTGAGGATCCATCAGGACCGAAAGAATGCACAGCTCACTAACAGAAAGCAGGCCCAAATCCTTCTAATCAAGGGAACATACATCAACTTTTCCATCTCCTCTGGCTGTAACTCAACCCTCTGCCAGCCAGCATCACGAAGGTCTCATCTGGGTTAAACTTCAGCCAGACAGCCCCAATTTCATCTAGACAGGGAATGTAGAATGCACATCATTTGGATATGATGAAAAGGAGCTGTAGAACAGTCTCATTAGCACACAAAGCACTGCAGGCTGGAACACCTCATGTTCCCAACAGTCTCACGCATATTCAATAAAACGTGACAGAATGGATCCTTGTGGCATGTCACGTGAGAAAGCCTTCAAGCAGAATAGCAGTTGTACAATATCACCCTCTGGTGGTATTTTTTTCTGCTCAGAGGAAAAAGCCATTCAGGCAGTTCCATGAATCCCTGTTGTAGTCTGCAAATATACCAAGTCTCAAAGGCAACTAATATACTTGAAACATGGACACTTGGTCTTTGCATATTGCCAGAGAGGATAATCCACCAATGAAACCAGGGTGCTGACTATCTCATAAGCAGTTGTGAAACCAAGTTTGGAATGGGCCCACAGAAGCCTGAGGACTCCAGGCATTACCGGAGCTCCTTCACTACAACTTTCCTCTAAAAAGAAGGCTACACAGGAGACAATCAGCAAGAGGCAGTTTCTTGAGTAGGTCTCTAGCAAGAGTTCATTTAAGATATGCTGACACCTCGCTTCTCTCTTTTAGGAAAGCACTGACCGTCTAATACCAATAATGAATCAAATGGCTCTTCATTGGAGTTCAGCAGAAGAGAAAGGCACAGAATAGAAACACAGCTCCAAGTTATTCAGCCACCTTTAGAACTTCAGTGACCACACAATTTGAAACTCAAGAGGAGATGACATTTTTCCCCTCTGAAAACAGAACTACTGCCACTGAAGCTGCCAATTGAGTCTGGATACAATAGACCTCATCTTCAAAACAGTTGGAAAAAACAGCACATACACTCAACTCTTTCAGAGCTGAAGTAACCTATATTTACCAGAATACCATCTGTCTAGAACAGCTTTTCCAATCAGTACTTTATGGACACCACAGTGAAGGAAAAGAAAACCATTTCCATCACAATGATGGCATAGGACTTTTACTAATTGTGTGTCATAGCTGATCAAACTACATGAGATCTCTACATCTGGTACTTCAGCCTCTTCCCTGTTTCATCTATCAAAGTTCATCTATATACCATGACCACCTGTGAGGATGACAGGTAGAGCCATGGTTAGGAGTAGAGAAGAACACAGTTGAAGACAAAAGATAATTATGTTCCCAACTATGAGTACAGTACTCTATCAAGCCGTAAAGCATCCCCTCCCAAAGAGATCTTATTCTAATGTATAAGAGGGCACAATTGTGGTTCATTAATTTTATACAATCAAAATGTGGCACTAGTTTTTTCTCTTTAATTTGAAGAGAGAAAATTAAAACATGACCATGAAGTAACATTTCTAAATATCTGAACTGGTATTCTTCCAAGTTAAAAAAGGTAACCTTTAGCAGAGAACACTCATGAGTAATTTCACGCCCAAAATGCAAAAATTTTGAGAAATTATAAGCCATATAAAATATAAATTTTGAACTACAGAATGAAATTCTAATAGTCTTTAAAGGCATCACCGCTACTTAGCTTTTAAAAAGTGAACAAAAACAAACAGACAATTCTGCTCTTTCAAATATTCAGCTCTCTCTAAAACTACAGCTTCTATAATTTATTTATCCCAGGATTCACTTGCACAGATGGCATTTCAATATGTAGTAACATTAGCTTTCATGGTTTATAAAGCCATTGTGTAAATGACAAGTTGAAAAGAGTTACTGTTGCAGAAGAGAACTCTGAGCAGGGTTAACCCTGAGTTTCAAGCTCTTCAAGGTGATGTAAAGGCTTCAGGTACAAGACCAAGAAAGTGCTGAAGATTTGAAAAATTACCAGCTCCAACCTACCTCTCTCACCTGATTATAAAATTGAGGTAACGAGAAAAACACTTGGGAACAGTCAAAGCAGCACACTTTGGAAGTATGGTTAAAATCAGGAACAAAAACAATGCACTATGTATGCTTGCTACATGATTTTCAACTGTTCATAGCTTTATTACTGCCAAACAAGGCAGAGCCTGAATTCTACATTCAGAACTATGTATATGTCAAGCTCAAAATCTTAAAAGAAAGCCTGTTGATTGAGAGTTTAAGAAAGCACCAGAAAAACCTCTTAACTGGTAGAACACCCCCACCCATCCCCTTCCTCATTCTCAAAATTCTGATAAATGGCTTCCATTGCAAATGGCAGGGGGGAAAAGGCAAGGAAAGGTTTTCACTATACGAGGCACTCTTACTTTTCCAATTCCTCCTGTGAATGTGCGAAGGTGCAGCTGGCTCCACGGGGACACCCTCCTCTCTGCTTCATGTCTCGGCACATGTATGTCTTATACTTGCTGTGTTGAGGAGGCTATGAAGAGTAAAGACAACAAAATAAGGCACTTGAGTATAAATTAATGCACGTAATTAACCAAGAGGGTACTTTAGACTACCATGCTCTCAATAAAATAGGATGTTCAAAGTAAATAATTATTGACAAACTTTATTCAGAGACGACCGCAGGCAAGATGAGCAATTGAAGGAGTTGTGTGTATGATAATTTGATACAACTGTACACTGGACTCAGAATTAGGTACTATGTCAGCAGATCCAGTGACAGATTTAAATGACTCATCCATATCAGTGATTACATAAGCAAAACTATTTATTGAGGCTGGATTGGAACAGCCTGTGGGTTCAGATAACAAGTGGGGACAAAACATTACTGGCAGTTCTGAAAGCAGCTTGGTGTCTCTTTTCATATTATAAAATAACCACTTAGTAATCACAGATTGAGTGTTGGGGCTAAAACACCATAAGGTACTGTGGAAGCTACCATCACTGAAGCAAGCCAGAATTTCACATTGAGGGCAGAAAACTTGCTAAATTAACACCTATACCCAAATACCTAACTGATTTTCATGTTAATCTACATTAATCTGAGTTAGCCTAAAATGGCCATTTTTACTTAGCAGACAAAGGAAAAGGGTTCTTCAAAGCCTGCAGAAAATTCATCAAGCTGTTTTTGAGTTACAGATTAACAAGTTATCCCATACTTGAAATTTTACCAGTTAAACACTTTACTCTCCCTCCATCTCAAAATGGCCTATTACTACCCCCTTTGAACTTCACATATTAGTTACCTCTCATTGAAAATTTCTGTGCTGGCTGTATCTGAACAACATAGTAGTTGATAAATAAAATTAAATTTGTGTGTGTGAACATTTTGGGAGCCAATCTTGGTCCATGGAGGTCAGTGGCATTTTGCATTTCCCCATCACCACTATTTACTTCAATGGGAACTGAAGAGTGCATTGTGTATGTGAGCATGTTGCCCTCTACTGCACATAAGAAAAAAGAAGGAAATTTCTATCAGAGATGAGCAAACAGAGCTCTGCTAGCTAAGTGGCACAGGCCTGTTTTTTGGGAAGAGGAGGATTTGGTTTCTTGTCCCAGCTGTGCACAAAAACTATGGATAGGTGATGGCTTCCACACATTAAGGCTGCAGTTACAATCCCATTCTAATGCAAATTTTCATCCCCCTTGCAGCTCCTTGCTTTAAAGACTACTAGGTTTGGTAAATTATGTGATAGGTAACATTCTTTAGCTAGGTCAATTAGTTCTTGAAACAAAGGTTTTCAGTTTGGGGATTTATAATAGCACTTCACCGAGTTCCAAATGTTTAAGCTTTACAGAACCATTACAAGCAATAAGTACAGGTATTGGCACCTGAAAGGTGCCATCTCATGTGTGAAATATGCCAGTTTTTAAAAAAAGCAACATTGGCACAAAGATTTTTTTTGGAAAGGGGTTTACCTATTGATTTCCCTGTAGCTTCAGATGGATTAGATTTTCTTCTCTTCTTCCTGATCTACTATGCAAAGATGTGTGAGATGATTGCCTACTAAGTAGAATACTCACTAGACACTACAGCGAGACTCCCAAACCAGTTTTATTGAAGTATATTTAAAGCCAGGTCTCCAGAATTAACATACAAATAAATCCATGCCACTTGCTCCAAACAAAGTTTAGAGGCTAATAGTTTCCCAGATTCCTAATGCTCCAGTCTTTACCTGCTGCTGATCTGTTCCTTTCTTGCTGTGATTCTGTATGTAATCAACTAGTCCATGTACCACTGTCCTCACAGCAACTAATCCATTTTCTAGTTGTTCCCATGTTGGGGGTGGGGCATCTGCAGCATTCACAAGAAACAGAAAATTTCTTACAATTAAAATTAAGGTGTTTCCATGACTGGTTATCAAGAATATTTCAATGTTAAAAAACCCCAAACACACAAAAATCTAAGTAGCAAGCCTCAAGGAGTGCCTTGCCAGGAATCATCATCATCAGCATCAACACCCTCACAGTCTCAGTATTGATCATTTAAGCTGCACAACAAGCTAGATAAATCAGCAAGCCAGTATCTGGCACGTTTGAAAAAATTCAGAAAACACTGGTGGCTTTAGTTCCTAGTTCAGCTTCAAGAGACTGACAAGCAAAATCACTGCACATATTTTGATTTTGACAGTATTATAGAAACTTGACAAGCGCACAAGTCTTTTTGCACAGAAAGCATTATCAAATTCTTTGTTTTCACACCACTCTTTTGTACAATGCTGCACCAAAAACATATTGGTTTAATATATCTAACTCTGACAGAACAGCTCTGACGTACATTAGTGTTTGGTAGATTGTTTTTGGAAGCAGGGTCTTTTCTGCACAACAGGCCCTGTCCTCCAGCTGCATGATACTTCTGCAAGGACCTATATCTCACAGATATTATTTTAGGCAATATGCTCTACAAAGTCCATCAACATTACCCTAGATCAGAGGTTCCCAAACTTTTCTTATTGAGTACACCCTTCTAGATCTACCAGCTGCCTGCATACTCCTACCCTTCTCATCACGGATATTTTGTATTCTTAACACTACTGCTCTTTAGCCATTTGTCCATATTTCACTGTTACATATAAATATAGTTATAGTGCAACGTATACAACCAGAAAAAACACCGAAACAAAACACCCTGATTAAGTTCTGATTTCAGTTAGACTGGACAGATGCTGGGCAACTGAACCCGTGCTGTACGGTGAATGGAGGTGAGGGCTCTGTACATCAGCGTTCTCATTGGTACATCTTGAAGTAAATTAACTACAGCAGAACCTCAGAGTTATGAACAGCAGAATTAGGAACTGACTAGTCAACATACACCTCATTTGGAATTGAAAGTATGCAATCAGGCAGCAACAGAGATGGAAAAAAAATAGCAAACAGTACACAGTAATGTGTTAAACGTAAACTACTAAAAAATAAAGGGAAAGTTAAAAAAGTTCTGACAAGATAAGGAAACTTTGTGCTTGTATCACTTAAATTAAGATGGTTAAAAGCAGCATTTTTCTTCTGCATAGTAAAGTTTCAAAGCTGTATTAAGTCAATGTTCTGTTGTAAAACTTTTGAAAGAACAACTTTTCAATCAGAGTTATGAACATTTCAGAGATACGAACAACCTCCATTTCCCGTGTTCATAACTGAGGTTCTACTATATTGTATTTTATATAAAATTCCCACAATTTTAAAGTTTCATCTGAGTAGCCTATTATGAAAATGCAGTAAGTTAATAAATTAAAAAAATCCACCATTACATAGTTTTTCCTGCATCTCCCCCCACCCTGCGCGAGATGTCTCACAAACCCCCCGGGATACACTTACTGCAGTTTGGGAACCCTGTCCTAGATCATCTAAAGGGGCACTCATTGCCAACTACCACAAGTTATTCTCCCCCTCCCCCGATGTGAAACAATACAACTACACAAATCAACCAATATTTAATACATGACAATCAGTAACTATAGGGCCATCAGCCAGAATAGATATTTATTCTTTTATCTGGTTGATTTCTCTTCCAGTTATTTAACCTAATCCAACAGAAGATAATACCACTGGGCGCGCGCGCACACACACACGCCTTGAATCAGTGGATCTCAAAATGCTCTACATACATGGAGTCTCAAAATCTTGTAACATACTTAAACGTCATTACACCCATTAAATCTTTAATTTATCAGACACCTTCTAGCTAGTATATTTATGAAAAATGTAAGTTGGTTACAGGCACATCATCAAGATGAGACGTCTCGATCCATTGAAGTCTCATCTGCTGGGGAAAGGGAGGGGCACAGATCACACCTACTAGACCGAGGCTGATTATAGAAGATGGAATCTGATACATTTGAAGTTCTGCCCTCCTGTAGTTCCAGAAAGTGAAAAAGATTTCTTCCTTTCTCCTGGCACCAGAGTAGGAAGTAGGCAGGGGGAAGATCTGATATTCTCCCTCCCACTCCACCTAGGTGCTTTAAAGGGGAGGATTTCCATGACCAATACTCCTGCAGTCACCTTGTGTTATTTTGTTATTCTCTCCTCAATTCTCTCTTCTGTATCTTAGTTTTCTCAAGTAGCAGCAACTGCCACTGTCCAGAACACTGCCATGGTACTTGATAGTTCCAGCACTGCCAGGGATTGAATAGCAGCAATGCTGTCAAATTCACTCTACTCTTCTTTCCCACAGGCGTAAACAGCAGTAGCAGAGCTCTTTGGCAGATTCAGGAAGAAAGCACTGCATTTTTGGCTGTTAAGCACTGATTGCAAAAAGAACTTTCCAAATATGGACCAACCGTAAGAGTCAACTTTACAAACAACCAAAACCCCTTATCACTTCCTGCAGTAATAGATAGCTTAGGCCTTCCCACTCACCAGGGAAAGCTTCCCACTCACCACTGGGGAGAAGATTTCATTTAAGGTTATACATTTTATTTTACAGGTAGGTAAAGAGCAATCTTCAGCCACATGAGCTTAGGTTCCCCTCTCAGGTATCCACCTACCCTTTACCATCTATTTTCTCCTCTCCAATACTTCCTTCCCCTGCTGCCTTCCCCTCAAGTTTCCTCTCCAATCTCCCTTTTCTTCTTCCTTCCCCACAACTTGGATTCCCCTTCCCAGTCCCTACTTTCTTTCTCCCCACTTCCTTCCCCCTGCACGGTTCCTCTCTCATTCTGTGATCTTGGCGGACTTCAACAGTCATTCAAAATTTCTGAGTAGCCAGCAAAATGGCATGACACTTCACACAATAAACCAACTGCTTGTCTATCTAGCCTGACCTTTTCCTACTCTATGTAGTTCCAGAGCATCAGGATTAAGATTCCTCAATAAGTCTTTCGTGGAAAATGATTTCTGATTAAAAAAAGATGCGTGAAGTCCAAAATTCTGAGAACCTACCACTGTAGAGAATATTCAAGACACACAGTTTTTGATTAAACAGCTAATACAGTAAGGCCATTCTGATAGAGCAGACACTACTATGACTTTACAGGATGTTCACAGGTTTACCTGGACTAGGGTCAATATTTGCCAAGAGCTCTAGGTGAGGTCGAAGCCGGTTCAGGTTGGCTGGGTCTCCAGTCCTCTGGAGAGCAATGGTTAGTTCTTGAACACTCTGTGCAAATGAGGCTGGGGTCTGCAACTTAAAAAATTGTAACAATTAACTTTCTACAGGCAAGGCAGCCATCACTGCTTCTGCAGGCTGTGCCAATAGGTCACAGAGTCATCTTTCCAATTGCTTCATTTCATTTTCACCCAAGATGATTTCGTTCACCATGTGCTCACTTTTTCTTAGTTCCAAAAGGGAACTCCCCTTTTTTATGCAAGACTACACCTCAAGCAAAGATACACCAGAGCCTTGGGTTTTCCCTGGATGTTCTAAGTCATTTATATTCCAGTAGTATCCAGTGATACCAACAAGAATTGGAGCTCCATTGTGCTAGACTTCTACTAAAGGCCCAAAACTCTCTTTCGCCTCTGGACCAAGAAGTTTTCAACCTAATTTAACACAAGTGTAATAAAGAAAAGAAAGGAAGGTGGGGGGCGGACGACAAGGTAACAGTAATAAGAATTCTTCCTACTTACCACCTCTATGGGAAGTGGATTAACTAGGATGATGGGAGAATGCCTCCCATCATTGTAGTGAATAGTTACACTGAAGCTCTCCAGTTGCACCACTAACATTTGAAATGTTGACTAGCCCTTTATTGACTCACGATTAGTATTAGGTTACAAAAGAGCTGGGAAAGAGAACAGATGGGTGGGCTGATTTGAGGTGGCTTTACCTTGTCAATGATGGACTGCATGTGGGATTTGTGGGACTGATCGCCGTATAGCAGCGAGGACCACTGATCCGGTGCAATGCGTAAACCTGCTTCCATGGCAATCTGCACAATCTGGGAATCATGTTCCCTTCGCAGAGCTTCATAGGTACGAAACTCCTCCTTCAACTGCATCAGGGAGGAGTCCTCATCACGTTTAGTCACCTGATGGGGAGAAAGTTGCCCATCACAATGAGCCAGGGATAAATCAGATGGCAGTGCCACCTTGGAGCAAATAAATTCTTAGGTTAGTACTAAGTTCCCTCCTCCCCAGAGGGTATTAATTACTATCACGATGCTACATAGTAAACACCAACAAATGAGAATGGTTCCTCCTGACTGTAATAAGGGATAAGCATTCCTATATTCATATATTGAAATGCTATTGAATACATCAACCCAGATGTATGGAACATCATTGACTTGAAGCCTGATTCCAGATGTTAGAGAGAGAAATGTTGCATTCTAGATTTTTTACACTGGTGCCCATCATGATGGTGCCGGAATTCCTTCACTTCATCTTGGGAATCTCACCAGCAGCAACAACACAATATAATTTTAGTTTAGTCTCTTTTCACTGTAACTTCATTTTGGTGAATTTTTGTGCAAAGAAGAATGGATATACTATAAAAACATGGAGTCAGCAGCAACATAGGCTTCCCTCATGAAGCTGTGCCAATGAATCTCATCCTTGATGTGCAGCACCCCACGCTATTTCAACCCTAACCACCATACATACAACTCAGTCAACATATCCTAGGGTATTCTACCAGCAAGTCTCTCCTAAGCAGACAGAAAATAAAGCTAATTTGTTTGGTGAATTTGGTACTGTTCATCAACTGTGACCTACTCTGAGCCCAAACTTGCATTTCACTTGCAACTTAAAACCAAATTAGAGCCAAAGTCCCTTTCTGTGAAAACTCTGAACATTTGGGACTTCATAAATGAGACCCATTCTAAAAATACAAGTGTCTTATACATTTAATCATAGAATCGTAGACTTGAAATGGACCTCAATCTGTCATCTAATCCAGTCCCCTCCACTCAAGACAAGACTATGTCATAAATAGATCATTCCTAACAAGATTTTGTCTAACCTGTTCTTAAAAATCTCCAATGAGAGATTCCCCAACCTACCTAGGCAATTTGTTCCCATGGTTAACCATCATGACAGTTAGGAAGTTTTTCCCTAATGTCCAATCTAAACTGCCCTTGCTGCAATTTAAGCCCACTTAAATTAAGCTTCTTTAATCTCGGAGGATAAAACAAGGAGAACAATTTTTCACCCTCCTCCTTGTAACAACCTTTTATGTACTTGAAAACTTATGTCCCACCTCACTCTTTTCTTCTCCAGACTAAAAAAAACACCCAAACATTCTTTTCAATCTTCCCTGATAGGTCATGTTTTCTAGATCTTTAATAGTTTTTACTACCCTTGTCTGGATTTTCTCCAATTTGTCCACATCTTTCCTAAAGTGTGGCACCCAGAACTGGACACAATACTCCAACTGAGGCCTTACCAGTGCAGAGTAGAATGGAAGAATTACTTCCTGTGTCTTGCTTACAACACTCCTGTTAATACATCCCAGAATGATGTTTGCTTTTTTTTTTGGTGTGCACATGCCCGCAATACTGTTCACTCATATTTAGCTTGTTATTCACTATAACCCCTAGATCCCTCTCCACAGTACTCCTTCCCAGGCAGTCATTTCCCATTTTGTATGTGGGAAATTGATTGTTCCTTCCTCAGTGGAGTACTCTGCATTTGTCCGTATTGAATTTCATCCTATTTACTTCAGACCATTTCTCCAGATCATTTTGAATTTTAATCCAAAGCACTTGCAACCCCTCCCAGCTTGGTATTGTCTGCTCACTTTATTAGTGTACACTCTGCCATTATCTACATCATTTATGAATATATTGAACAGAACCGGATCCAGGAATGATCCCTGCGGGACCCCACTCGATATGCCTGTCCAGCTTGACTGAACAACTGATAATGAATAACCACTGATAACTAATGGTATAGCGTAACTATAAATTCAAAGATGCAAGCAAACGAAAGCCTTCTTTATTTGCATGACAGATTGGTGTGTGGTTCCAAATTTAATGAGGTCTTTTAGCATTTTCTGGGGGTACAACAAGTAAATCTTCCTTGTGTTGTGGAACCTCCAAACAGGGTTTACTTCATACCTTGAAACAGGAGGCTCTGTAAAGAAGCTGGACAACATGCCCAATGCTGGTTTTAGAAGCTTGAGGAAATCGTGGCTCCAATCTCTGCACCACAAAGAGAACCAAGACCTTTCGTGACAAAGCAGATCCATCTTCCAGAGCCAGCAGAACCAGCTTCAGTGCTTCCTCTTGCATTGCTGGAAAATACAAAGCAACAAAAGAATAAAACAAAAAAGCAAACAAAAAAAACCGAAACATCAAGAATGATCTTGCATTAATAACATGCTTTCTCTACAAATGGGTGCAGTAGGTAACCGAAAGGGGCAGGCAAAGTCACTCCAAAGCTCCCAGAAGGTAGTGGGGCATGTGGAAGACACTTACAAGACTCTTGCATTGATACTGGAAGGAAGGTGCAGGGCTAGGAACCAGCAAACCAGCTGCCTGAGCACCAAACTTCTCAACTACCTCCCATCCCGCTGTAGTCAGAGCCCCCCAGCTTGTTGGTCCCATGTTACAGAGCAGCAGATGGAGTGTGTCCAGCCCTCTTTTTTTTTTTTTTAAATGAGCTTAGGAGGAAAAAGGAATCCCCCATTTTCAGAGGAGGGCTGAGCTAAGAGAAGAATTCATATCTACTCATCCCTAATGCCGTGCTCTCCTCACTAGGGCTACGTTCTTGCAAAACAAGAACAAACAGAAGAGGCAAACCAGGGTGGACAAAAATAGATTTTTAAACTTAAATTAAATAAGTTTCTTTTTAAAAATAAACTTATTTAAAATAAATGTTTAATTATGAGAGCCTATATTGAGGCCTAAATTTATTCTAATTTATTACAATTATTTTAACTAAACTAAAATAATGCAACCATTACATGCTTGCTGCCAAAGTTTTAAAGAATGTCAAATCACTGAACTCGCAGAAGTTTGTTCAAGTGCTAGACCAGCTTCCGACAGCAAGAGCCTTGTCTGCAGGTACAGAGTATTTTAATTCAGTTTATTTCAACTAGTTCAGTTCATTGACTAGTTCACTCAAAGTTGAGAAATAAACTGGGAGATGTAAAAGCAGGAAACCTTGTTTTCCTTTTCCAATCTATGAATAAAAATGAGGTACCGGAGGATGAAATCTACCAGTCCTAAAATCTTGAAGGATGTGATGACTACAAACAATCAGTTCAAGTCACTAGCTACAGATACTTCCTTTGTTTAATAACTCAGTTTTAAATGCAAAATTTTTTTTGATAATCCTTTTCTCTGATGTATACAAACACATTAAGGTAGTTATATTTAACTAAAAAAAATTATGCACTTTATTTTAATTTCCATCCAAACGCAGGTGTACACAAATCACAAGTAAAAATTAAATCATTTATTACATAAAAAAATGCACCATTCACCATTTTCTAACACAGTAAAAACAAAAATTAAGAATATGCACATTAAGCTACAATTAAGGATAAGGTTATGTCACAGAGGTCATGGATTCCATGACTTCCAGAGACCTTTGTGACATTTTCCACTTCAGTCCCTGGATGGCAGGAGACTGGCAGGAGCAGCAATGTGTTGTTCCTCTCCCCCACCCCAGGCTTCAGTCATCCCCTGTCAGGCCCCTCCCCCGGCCCATTATTTTTTGTAAAAATCAGACAGGTCATGGACTTCTGTGAATTTTTGTTTGTTTATTGCCCACAGCCTGTCCCTGACTTTTACTAAAAATAACCACGACAAAAATCTTAACCTTAGTTATAATTGCTTATATAGCCATGTATAAGTATTGTGTGCTCTCCTGGCTAGCAAAAAGAAGTACCAAATTTAGTGTAGAAGCTTTATTTAGTTGCAAATCAATATGTTTTAATGGTTATCAACCTCTCTCTTCTCTTTCCTAAAGTACAAATGCAAATTAATCACTTAAATGAAGATTTCCTGCTCGCTGATTTAAACCATGGTTAAAGTTAGTGATTTTTAAAATCCACCACGAGGTAGGTAAACTACTCAGTCTTCTCTGTTCACGTCAACAACTAAAGACATCAGATTTTTTGGAGCTTTGCAAAAAGACAGAATAAAGCCCTAAAAATATTTGAAAGACAATAAAAATAGTTCAAAGTTAGCATTAAATCAGAAGACCTACTGCAAAATATCTGAAGAGAAGCCACCGCCCAATAACACTGCCAAGGCAGTTTCCAGCCATCTTTCCCCCCCCCAATCCCTGAATCCTGCTACTGCAGAAGAACTCGTCATCTCACTGGTACGTACCTGGCCCAAGGAACTGGCAGCCCCTGGCCCTCACTGCAGCCCAGAGGTTGGAAGAGAGTTGCTGGGGATTTTGATGTTGAAGAATGAGCTCTGTGACTGTTCTTTCACCCAGTGACCGTGCTGCACGCATGGCCCTGATCCGCCCTTCTTCCTCTACTAGCTGGCAGTGAACTAGCGTTACAAGCTTCCTCTGCATGGGGCGACTTAGCACACTCTGAGTGGTACTGTTCAGACCCACACCTTCAGAAAAAAAAGCATACAAAGACAGTGAGCTAAATTTCTCCTTCTGCAGGATTATCTAAATGCCCTATAGGTATCACATTCCTCTAGCCAAGCCAACTTTCAACTTCTGTGTTTTGCACTTTAAACATCTTCTAACCAGCTCCTGCTGCACTTCATTTTAGTACATTGAACACTACATCCAAACCTGTCAAAAATGCACTGTGAACTTGGAAAGGTTCATTTCAGGCAGTGCTTGAAGAAAAACAAAAACAAAACCCTACTCACTAGATAGCTTTAGTGCTTCAGCTGCTCATAGCTTTGCCAGGAGACTCAGAGTGGGGGTGAAGATAAATTTGTCAAAAACCTTTTAACCAGAGGCAGATATGAAAGATGAAACCCTTGAGCAGGTCTAGAGAAAGTAGCCTGATAGAAATCTTTAGTAAAAGGCAAAAAATGTGTTTGCTCTAAAGAAAAACCCAAGTATTACTAGTACCTACTGTACCCCAGACTCACTGATAGGGCCTCATCACTGTCTCTCTCATCCTTCGTAGCATCTCTGGCTAGCAGGTGTCTAACGTATAGACATTTACAATCACCTAGACCAGCATACAGATATTTAAATAACAGAGTTCTATTGTTATTACAATTGTTCAAACAGGATTACTCAGATGGATCCAGTTCCTATATAAGGAGATGTGCAATCAGTGTTGGCTAGCTCCAGCCCTCAAGAGTCAAGCCACCATGTTATAATATGACATTGACTTCCTGTTCCCATCTGCTAGTTGGACAATATTAAGTCCAACTTTCCTGGATTGACCCATGGGACATCAAACAAAATTTTACTTTACCTGTTTCAGGCTATATTTTCACTACAGAATGGATTTTAATTTTTTTTTTTAATTTAATGGAGATCTCCTATCTCCTAGAACTGGAAGGGACCTTGAAAGGTCATCATCAAAGCCCCCTGCCTTCACTAGCAGGACCAAGTACTGATTTTTGCCCCAGATCCCCAAGTGGCCCCCTCAAGGATTGAACTTACAACCCTGGTTTAGCAGGCCAATGCTCAAACCACTGAGCCATCCCTCCCCCATTTTACTGTGAGATAGTTAAGGTAAGACACAGGTGACTTACCTCAATGTAGCTAGTGGAGGTCAAAAGTATAGGGATGACCTTGACTCACTACATCAAGGTAAAACTAGGGTTACCATCCGTCCAGGTTTCCCCGGACATGTCCGGCTTTTTCAGCCTTAAATGGCCGTCCGGGGGGGGGGGGAGGATTTCTAATGAAGGGATTTCCCCTGATTGGACGCCTGGCCTGATTGAAAGCCGCTCGCAGCCACTAGGGCCTCTAGCAGCCAGAGTCCCTCCCCCTCCCCTGCTCCCTCACAGAGCAGCGCGGAAGTGTT